GAAGAGTCGACTACTTTGGAGCTATAGTTCAATATCTGGACATAGAGACAGACTTACAGCAAAAGGTCAGAGAGGCGTACGTGCAAGACCGTATCTACAGTGACCTCCTAACGAAGGTGAAGGAGGACGTAGTCAGTGAATCAGATTAGCGCACCAAGAACGGGTTGTTATTTGAGAAGACAAACGTCGTAGATCAGCTATGCATCCCCAATAGTGAAGAGATCTGAAGTCTGATCCTAGGGGAATGTCACGATACAGAATGACACTTCGACTGGCAAAAGACATTGGCCAACCTGACACGTGCCTACATGTGGCCTGACATAAAGGCTGACTTCATAGAGTATGTGCGTAGTTGCAATGTCTGCAAGCAGAACAAACTATGACGGGAGCCCCATTGGGTCTTTTCAGACCCTTGCCTATCCCTTCATGACCCGGAGATTCTGTGTCCATTGACCACATGGATGTTGGGGTCAGGAGTAGGCACGGAAAAAACCAAGTCATGGTTACAGTTGATCGCTTTAGCAAGTATGCAATTTTTGTTCCTTTGCCCTCTGAGGCACGCACCAAGTTAGTGATAAATAAGTTTTCTGATGCCACGGTAAGTGAGCATGGTATTCCACTATCTATAGTTAGTGATAGAGATACGTGGTTTACTAGCCATCACTGGCAGGAACTTATGTGAGTCTACAACTCAAAGTTGTCGATGTCATCTGGCCGTCGTCCAGAGACTAACGGTCAGACTGAACAAATGAATAAGATCCTGCAGAAGATACTGAGGATGTATATTAGACCCGATCAAGTTAACTAGGATGAGATGCTCCCTAAGGTAGCTAGTGCCTACAACAATAGTGTCCACTTAGCTACCTCAAGACTCCTAATGAGCCACATAAGTCCTTCAGACCACGCAGACCGTTTGAAGGACTGAATTGTGACCAGATTCAGAAACTGCCAACTGGAACAAGAAAATTTGCGCTACATCATGAGAGAGAAATCGCAAGAGTGACCGATGACTTGAGTAAAGCTCAACATAAGATGATAGATCAAGCTAATAAGCATCGTCGACCATCGCAGTTCCAAGTAGGAGACTTAGTTTGGGTTAAGTCTAAGGAGTTCGCCTAGAAGATAACATCTCATAAAAGTTGCTACCTGCGTACAGGGGACGGTGGCCTGTCCTAGAAGTGAAAGGCGGAGAGGACGGACCCTCTTACACGATTGAGATACAGGCACACCTCCACAAATACCCAGTCTTCCATGCATCAAAGTTGTTGCCTTGTGTCACCAGCCAGCAATTTTTATCATGTCGGTCGATGATTCCGCCGGATATGGATGGCACATATGATATATAGATCGCATCGGAAGAGGATGTGTGCAGAACCGGAGGAAGGGGTCGTCCCCAAAAACAATACAAAATTAGGTTTGCTTATCAGGAACCCGAGGACAACCGCTGGTTTACGAGAACAAAGCTTCTAGAGAATGATCCTGACATAGTGCACGCCTACGACAGAGAAAGAAAATGTAAAGGTCCTGCCTTGTTCTCGGAGGACCTCGAATTTAGGTCGGCAACGGTTTTCACCTTTACAGTAGCAGATGCAGTACCCATGGCTTGATCCGTACACCTCCCCTGCACCCGTGTACAGTACCCGGTGACCTATGAGTGTTTGAACCCGCGACCTGTGTTCTGAAAGTCGTCTGTTTAGCTGTTGTATATAGTGCGGTCGCCGGGTCTTGAGCCGTAGGTCTGTGTTTTAGGAGTCTTAGCAGTGGCCTAGGTCGTAGCTGCTACAGTCTCAAAGGGTCAAGTCTACAGTCTTCAGGAAGATCCGGAAGTGGCTGTTCGTAGGTCTAAGAAGTCAGTCCGCGTTTGAGTCAGCGAAGGGCAGTCCTAGCATAGTCAGCAAAGGGCAGTCCTATACCTACCTAGCCTAGTCAGCGGTACCCAGTCGGACCCAGTCCCAGTCGCACTTTATCAAGGCAGCAAGTACCATGTGGGACTGTGTGCACCCTGGGCCCGATGTCCAAGTGCAGACCAACGAAGATCCGAAGTATAAATAAAGAGGCAGCGTTCAGTCATTCATTCATTCTGCTTGTGAGCGGTGCGGAATCGCTGTTGGAGCATCTTGTGTACAAAGGTCTGCAGGGGCCCAAAGAGAAAGTGGGCTAAGAGGAGGAAGACGCAGTCATAGCCGCTTTTTGTTAGTAGAGGTAGAAGAAGGCAACCACAACTGTTGTAGATTAGTAGAGGTAGAAGAAGGCAGCCACAACTGCTGTAGATTAGTAGTAGAGTGTTAGTCCTTGTGTGTGAGTGTGTTGTGTATGTGTGTGCGGGACATCCAGGGGAGATCCAGAGTTGCGTGTGTGTGAAAAAGTCGCTGGGGATGCAGCTGATCGGGGTGAATTGGTGTCGGGCGCACATGCTCCATCCCTGATCGAGACAAGTTGGAATCTGAACTGTGTTCTTGGCTACTTTATCTCTGAGCTTTGTGTGGGCGAAAGTCGCCAGTTTGATCGTCATCTGTTTGTAAGCATGCTGAGTATCCAAGACGACTAGTCTGATTGCAATCCACTAAATTAAATCCTTATTCAAACTTTTTTGGATTGAACAGCCTAATCTAGCAGATCCTAGTATCATCCTACCTTACTCAACCTTTTGTACTCTCTCTCTCTCTCTCTCTCTCTCTCTCTCTCTCTCTCTCTCTCTCTCTCTCTCTCTCTCTCTCTCTCTCTCTCTCTCTCTCTCTCTCTCTCTCTCTCAGACACACACACACACACACACTCACACTTCCCCCCCCGCCCCCCCCATTTCCTATTATTCTGACCTAGCCAACACTCAACCTGCTTATTCATTATTTTCCCTCCCACCTTCACCCTTCGACCTTAGTGTTCCTTCATACATCTTCTTCTAGGCTATCCCGTATTCAGCAACCCCACGAAAAAGAAAACGAAAACGAAAGGTGTATTCTACGCGATTCTAACCTTTTCTACATGCTCTCTCTCTCTCTCTCTCTCTCTCTCTCTCTCTCTCTCTCTTTTTTTTTTTTTTTTTCTTTCTTTCCTTTTTTTTTTTCTTTCTTTCTTTCTTTCTTTGAATTCTTACCATGAAGATTCCATTGCCTCAGCTCGTAGTCATCGCTTGAAATAGCTAAGCTTACCCAGCTATTCCCTTACCTGAACATCGTAGCACGACGCTTTCGTTTTCTTCTCCTTTTTCTCCTTACTCAAAGCCCTAGCACGATTTGCTAAGGGCACCTGTATTCTCAAGGAGGCCTGGATGAGGCTACTTAAGAACCTGGTACAGGGGGATAAGAAAGTGCGTCGGAAAAACCTTCTAGGAGAATGCATTTTTTTAACCGGGTGCCGTACTTACGGAATTTTGCCTGACCGTAGTGCCCGATAGTGTCGAATTACCGGAGCAACAGGTCGTATTAGTGTAATTAAACGGCGTAGTAGCGTACCTTCTTCTTTTTTTTGGGGATTTGTAGCCTGGGAATTAAGGGGTTTTCGCCTTTTACAATGCGCATAAATTTTAGGAATTTTCATTTATTTGGACATGTAAATATATATGTTTTTTTTTTTTTTTTTTGAGCATACGTGGCACCGGACTAAGTGGCAGACCCCAGTACCCCTACGGCCATTTAGGTGTCCGAGTCACTGGACTACTGGGCAGACCACGGTGTCCCTACGGCTAGTTAGGCGTCCGAGTCAAGGTACGACTGGATCGTTCCCGCTTTAAGTTGGAGCGGGAAAAGGATTGCGTGGCAAGTTTGAAATTAGAAGGGCGGGCACGGTCCGCGTGTAACTGATTAGGCCGAGCCACGTAGTAAGGACAAAGACTACGATCCATGCAATATGGAAGTAGACCAATAGGAAATAGGTTTGGAGATCGACAAAGGTATGAGTACGTTGGAATAATTAAGAGTGTCCCTAGTAGGCATACTACCTTAAACATGTGATAGATACGGCGAAAGTTAGCCCGTAGGTGTAGATACTCCGTGAAGGATTTAAACGTACCTGTCCGTTGAGCGACACGTAACTGACTCTCACGACGCTCGACGTAACGTCTATGCGGTAGGAAGGTTGTGGCCGTAGTTGCTCGTGGAAGTGCCCGTTGGGTGGGAGTACTTTGCTTACTGGCAGGTTACTCGCGGGACAGTATATAGGAGGACAAGGCCGTACTGGTCCTCTAAGCTCGGTAAGACGGGAGGATAGACGGTGGGGCCGCAAGGCAGGGTTATGAGGTTAGCCCCCTGAGGATGATTGGAGCGCAACCGATCGAAACGCGTCGGGGATTGTGCGCGTAATTTGCAAAGAAGAGTTTTAGATGCGTGTACGAAAGGCAGTTGGCCACTGTTTACCACTATTCTGTGTAGCATAGTAACTGGATGAGGGGAGACACTCACACTGGTGGCTATGTCAACGAGGTGCATCTGAAGACTCAGTTTAGCGTACGACGTTACAAGAAGAGCAGTAGCAGACAACTTCTAGCATTAGCCGTTATCTGCGATCGTGGAGGAAGGGCGAACACCGAGAACTGTGTGAAAGGATTAGTGAGGGAAGGACAGGAGCACAGCTAGCAGAATGGCGTCTGCAGGGAATGGAGGAACTGGAGCAGGGAGTTCGACCATCTGCTTCAACTGCAACCAGGCCGGCCATATTGCGAGAGATTGTCCGTTGAAAGGACAAGGCGCGTTTGCGAATAACACAAAGTACTGGCAATCAAGGAAGGAGAATGAGGACAACATAAACCGGGTTGTCAGGTGGGCTGACTACAAAATGCAGAAAGAAATGGAGAAAGAGGGAAACAAGAAGATAGAGGAGGAAAGGAGAAAGGCCGAGGCCGAACGAAGAAGACAGCAATTGGATGAAGAAAGGCGCGAAGAGAAGACCCGGAGGATGATTGCGGAATCCGAGTGAAGAATAGTGGAGGAATGTGACAGAAGGGACAAAAAGTTGGAAGACGCGGAATTGCGATTGTAGCGGCAGTGACAAGGGATCTGCGGAACTTCAGAGTTGAGATAAGGACCGAGATCCTGATGACGCTAGCAGTAAACTCCAAGACGCCAAAACGAGACCGTGATGGGCTTACAGGCGGGTTGGATGCTTACCTGATGGAGGAGGAAGTGCTGACAGACGATGGTTTGAATATACCACCAAAGCGAGCGAGAGGGAAGCGAACTGCGAAGAACTTCGGAGCCGTAGAGGAGTGTGAAGAGGAGGCAAGGGTCATGTCAAGAGCAGACTACGAGAAGAGTTTGAGAAGGAAGGCCTGTACGCCGACGAAGACCACGTTTGTTGGGAAGGAGACCCCGACATCTAGGAACATTGTGCAAAGCGTCCTGGAGACTAGAGCGAAGCTCATGGCGAAAGAATGGCGGGAAATCAAGAAATTGTGTGAGGCGAGAAACATTACCTACGTATCCAAGGAGCAAGGGGTTCGGGAGTTGTTGAATAGAGCAGCATGGGGCGACGACGACGAGCTCTTGAATGAAACATGGGAGCAAGAAGATATCCAGGACCAATGACGGTTTGTGCCCCCGGTAAAGCTCATCTGGGCTTACATTGTCATCCTTCTATCTCTGAGAGGGACAATCTGGGGGCACACAAGAATTTTCAAGCTCAGACTGTTGACAGAGAAGGCCACTACCGCGTGCATGGTGATACTAATACTACTAGGTCAGGTTCAGTGGGCTAGGAAGATCGTAGACTTAGTGCCGCTGAACTGGAAATGGTTCGATTTTAAGCAACCTGTAGTATACTGCCTCGTCTCGCCATGGTGCAAAAAGACTTACATTGGTAGGTCCGTTGGAGGGGCTGCAGAACGGTGGTGGGAGCATGTCAAATGCGCTGAAACTGGTACAGAAGGTAGGGCTCATATGCTTTACAAATGGCTGAAGAGGTTTAATTGGAATAAGTACGTAGTTATTCCGATTGCTACATCGGAAGACAGTGGGTTGGAGAGCGTAGAGAGGATACTCATCAAGATATTTTCTCCGTCGCTCAACACGATAGGCATGGGGCAGAAAGGGAACGCGAAGAAGAGCCTGGGAAGGAGGGAAAGGCGCTCGCGAATGGTTGGGAGCAGAGAAAAGGAAGTCGATAATCGAACACGTATAATTGTATTTCAGACGAATAATAATCTACTGGCTAATACTAGTCTAAGAATGTGTCGTGACTTGGCTTATAAGGCTGGGAAGAAGCAAATCCAGATCAGTAGTGAGGGAGGGAAAATCTGGGGAGAGGACTCGTCGTTAGTAAAGAAGGTGTTTGGTACCTTGACTGTTGTGACGCAGGTAGGCAAGATAGCTTTATCCCAGGCAAAAGCTTGTTTTGAAGAGGGGGGTAATTTTTGGATTGCCCCTATCGTCATTACACAAAACTCAAGGGATAGAGGGAAAGGTTACCTGCGGCAGCTCCTGGAAATGTTGTGCAAACGAAAGGAATTGTCGCACATGTCGATAAGTAAACTGATGCACCCCTATAGCTGCGTGGGTACTTTTAGGGAGAAGGAAAAGAGGAGACAGATCAAGACTTCCTAGGTAGGGCAATAGGAAAAAAAACGAGCGTAAATATTCGGAAGAGGATCACAGTGCGGGTCAGGTACGGGAGCAGTGTGAAGAAGAGAGGTATCAGAGATGTTCTCATCTCAAATATCGAGAGCTGTGACTTGCATCCTGCGATTGCAGGGATTTTCAGACAGAAGGCGAGGGTTGTCTGGAGAAGGAACAATAATGTGGTGGAGATCCTGTGTAACTACAAGCAACTGAGTAAGAAGCCAGAACTTCCTTGTGCGTGCAAGCACTATGGTTTACCTGTCGTTAGTGGCCACGTGCTTACGAGAGTGTCCGATGTCCCAGGGCTCCCAGCCCTGGTTTACAACGGGAAGAACGTGGTCCACCCCAGACTAGAGACGACAAAAGAAGAAGTTAGCAGCAGCATAAGACTTGCACTCACAACTGTGCTTGGGAATCATTTTAGCGGACACCTGCCTGATCTGCAGATCAGCGATTGCTTCTCATCAGAAGGGAATGAGCGCGTTAGCATGGACGAGGGTATGGTTTACGTCGTCAAGAAGCAGTATAAGGATCTCCTGATTACGCAAGTTGACAGAAACGCGGACGATTTAGTGATGACATGTACATCCACGTACCAGTACAGCTTGGACAAGATGTTTACCTGGAATACAGCATATGACGAGGTTAGCAGCGGCGAAGCGGAAACACTGAAAGAGATGAAGCGAGATTTTGAAGGCCTTGGACTGCACAAGCTCGTGAACTGGAATTCAAAGGGGAAGATCGGTAGTGCATACGTGCTACCCAAGCACAAGGATCTTGAGCGATGGCGACCCATAGCCCCTGCTTGCAGCGAGCCCACCACGACGGGCAGTCGATGGATAGCGCGGACACTCAACTACCTATTGGAGAAGCTTCCCGGAGCATAACATTTCAACCTCACTGCTACGGCCTTGCTCAAGCAAAACTTGAAGAAAGCTGAGAAGAAGCTCCACTTATTTGGAGAAGGAACAATGACGATATGCGGGGGATTCGACATTAAAGAAATGTTTACATCCCTTCCGCATGCGGTTGTCATGGAAGCTCTATCCTGGTTGCTGGGCGAATGGGAGAAGAAGGGCTACCGTAAGATTACGGTACGCAAAAGAAGAAAGCAGGTTTCCCTAGGCGCGAAGCTGTTTGGGAAAGGTTACGTTAAGCTTTCTTTTGACTTTATCCGGAGCTTCGTACTTTTTGAACTGCAACACACCTACACCAAGTGTAGAGGGAAGTTGCTCAACCATGTCATCGGAGTACCAGGGGAAGAACATCAGCCCCCCATTGGCATGCCTCCTCTGTGCAAGGTACGAAGAAGGGTTTCTGAAGTCGTTAGGAAGTGATCACAAGCTCGTCCATGGAGTAAGGTTCATGGACGATGCAATGCTGGCAGTTGCATTCAACAGAAGGAAGAAAGGGACAATCAGGAAGGCACTGAAAATAATGGAGAAGTTCGCAAGCTGTTATGGTGATAATTTGTCGCTAGTCCGTACAGATGACGGATCTAACACCATCGATTTCGTCGGGGCAAGGATTACGAACGTGCCAGGGAAAACCAAGTTCCTCATGGAACCGAAGATCAAGAATGAACTGAAGAGCCAGATGAGAGTATTGCAACAAAAGCTCGTCTACCGCTGTTTCCAAGATTTTGACTCCTACTCCGACAAGCGTGCAAAGATTGGATGGTTGATCGACAGTTTGTGTCGTATCCAACAAATGGCAAACAATGAGAGTATGATAATCTTGCTAGTCTTGGCAATGAAGAACGAGCTCTTGCGCCGGGGTTAACCCCCGGCGTTCTTCCTCAAAGCCCTAGCGCGATTTGCTAAGGGCACCAATATTCTCAAGGAGGCCTCGATGAGACTACTTGAGAACCTGGTACAGGGGCAAAAGAGAGTGCGTCGAAAAACCTTCTGGGAGAATGCAGTTTTTGAACTGGGCGCCGTACTTACGGAATTTTGCCTGACCGTAGTGCCCGATAGTGTCGAATTACCAGAGCAACCAAGAATATAGGCCGTATTAGTGTAATTCAACGGCGTAGTAGCGTACCTTCTTCTTTTTGATTTGTAGCCTGGGAATTAACGGGTTTTCGCCTTTTACGACGCGCAGAAATTTTAGGAATTTTCATTTATTTGGACATGTAAATAGTACGTTTTTTTTTTTTTTTTTTGAGCATACGTGACACCGGACTAAGTGGCAGACCCTTGTATCCCTACGGCCAGTTAGGCGTCTGAGTCACGGGACTACTGGGCAGACCACGGTGTCCCTATGGCTAGTTAGGCGTCCGAGTCATGGTACTACTGGATCATTCCCGCTTTAAGTTGGAGCGGGAAAAGGATTGCGTGGCAAGTTTGAAATTAGAAGGGCGGGCACGGCCCGCGTGTAACTGACTAGGCTGAGCCATGTAGTAAGGACAGAGAGTACGATCCACACAATACGGAAGTAGACCAATAGGAAACAGGTGTGGAGATCGACAGAGGTATGAGAACGTTGGAATAATTAAGAGTGCCCCTATTAGGCATAGTACCCCATACACGTGATACATATGGCGAAAGTTAGCCCGTAGGTGTAGATACTCCATCGAGGATTTAAACGTACGTACCCGTTCAGCGACACGTAACTGACTCTCACGACGCTCGACGTAACGTCTATGCGGTAGGAAGGCTGTAGCCGTAGTTGCTCGTGGAAGTGCCCGTTGGGTGGGAGTACTTTGCTTACTGGCAGGTTACTCGCGGGACAGTATATAGGAGGACAAGGTCGTACTGGTCCTCTAAGCTCAGTAAGACGAGAGGATAGACGGTGGGGCCGCAAGGCAGGGTTATGAGGTTAGCCCCCTGAGGATGATTGGAGCGCAACCGATCGAAACGCGTCGGGGATTGTGCGCGTAA